TCTAGGGATTCATTGAGACTGATTAGGGGTAAAAATTCTATGTCTTTAAGAACATTAAAAGTTGATGAACTGACGTTCCTCAAACTGCAGTGGTGACCATTGATAATGGGATATGTGTCAACCTTGTTGTCGACTTCATTCATAGTAGCTGACACTCCAGGGACTTGAAGTAGGGATTTGAGTTCGGTAATATTTGGCAATTTCCTTGCATTCGAATTACCTTTCATGTGCTGACCGTCGCGGGATTTGGCGCCATTGATCAGGTTATTATTATGGCTTTGTAGTAGGTCGGCTGGGCTGTTATCACTATTTAAAATTAACTGACTATCCTTAACTGATAAGTCTTTGTCGACGCGTCTATTGTTGGAAACGACTAGATTGGAAGTCACGTGCGACTTCTGTGCAAGGTCGGTCAGGGAGTTTTCCTCACCCAAAACTCGATTAAGGACAAGATTGCTTTGTTCTATATTATTGACCGCGCATTGTTTATCGTTCTTTGTGGCAGTGTTGCTAGGGAAAATTTCATTCTGCTTTGAATTGGAGATTTTGGTCTTAATTAGATCTCTCAAGGAGACATTAGTCGCCTCAGTGGCTTTCAGTTTAAATTTAAGAGAGGCAATAATATCGTTGAATTCATTAACTTCACAAGATCTTCCTTTGATTAGAATAGACAGATCAGCTTCCAAGCGCTTGCATTTCTCCCTCTCACTAGAAAGGTCCTTTTTGAGCCGGCTTACTTCGTCTTGGTACCGTTTAGTTTCGCTTGGATTAACTTTATCGATCACATTTGAATATTCAAATGTTGTCGAATGTTGAAACCTGTCCCTCTGAATTAATACTTCGGTTATTTTCTTGTATTCATCGAACTGTAGACGAAGGTCTTCGTAACCACTATTTATCTCGTGTAGACTGCTCTCAACTTTGCTTATAGCACTCTTGTTTACTTCTATTTCCCGCTCTGCTATCGTTACATCGAGTTTAATGCCTTCAGCTTCGGTTGATAGCTCGTTGACAGTGAACAACATGGACCACCTAAATTGTGGGTGATGCCAATAACACTGAAACACTGTAACAACCCTACCTCCTCCGCAGACCATACAGCCCGTAATGAGTATGCCCTTCGCAGGTTGAAATTTGAAATTTGAGACGAAGGCTTTTAAAACAACTAGCTTCTGTAGCCACTGAAAAGAGAACAACATTGTTGTTCTCTTTTAGTGGTGACAAGAGCTATAGTTGTTATTTTACATTTCTGTTCTTGCTTAACTAAAATACGTAAATTGGAAGTCCTCAAATGTATTTAGATTAAAGTTACAGAATACAAGGAAAAATAACAGTTTAGAATTTAACAGTTTTCAGAATTATCATCTGATTATGCGATCATTCAATGAATGCGGGTGAATTAAGTGCTATTTTTACGCGGGTGATGATTCCAAAATGCGGGTATCACCCGCTCAGTGTGGGTGAGTTCACCGGCATATTTGTATACAATATCTCACGGCATGGTTCACTTTCCAGACCCTGTGAGGATATAAGAAAACCGTTGACTAAATAGATGTACAGGAAATTTAATACACAACACATTAAAATCACAAGCGACAATCGTATAACTGATATATATAAGCCCCAAAAATGTACTCTGCTCCAGTCTGTTGCTCTGAATATTACCCGAGCCAGCCCGGGTTGAAAATTGAAAATTTCATCAGTGCGCGAAGCGCACGCATTGAAATTATAATTTCATGAGCAAACCGAAATAAGATATAATAGCGTATTCTCCCCGGCTTCCGGTTAATTCAAGCCCTTCAAAGTCATAACGAGACCCCCAAAGTTCCCATGCTTCCCCTTCCTTCTCCAAAATGGATTGGAGTTAGAGAGCAAAACAAATGAGTCACAATCTAAAACAGGAACCTTTAATTTATTATACCGTTTATAATATTGTTACACTGTTGTAATACACTGTGTATAAACATCAATATCTCAAACACGTAATGTAAACTTTAACATGTACTTTAACATGTACTTTAATATGTACTTAACATAGTTCATAACATAGTTATAACATTTCACAAGAATCTGGACATCGTCACTTCACTCCTCAGTTGCCTTTAGCACCTAGAGTAGCAAAAGCAAACCGAAATAAGATTGATATTAAATAATAGGAAATTGGGAGTGGCAGGGAGGGACGCTATTATATTTTATTTCGGTTTGCTCATGAAATTATAATTTCAATGCGTGCGCTTCGCGCACTGATGAAATTTCCAATTTCATTTCACAAACCTCCATAAGATATAATAGCGTATGTTCAAAGCATTCCGACCTGTTTGGAATACTGTTTCCTGGAAACCATCCTGCCCAACTGTTGCCTCAGCAGTTACATCCCTCAAATAGTGCCTTTTAAAAGTGGATTCCTTCTTCCACTTAGCTTTATTCATGATTTCCTGACACGAGAGGCCTTTAGCCTTGGCTTTAGAAGTAGAGGCACCTCTGGTAGAGTGTGCACTAAATTCAGAGGTGTTCACACCTGCTTCACTCATCAGTCCTACCAACCAGCCTGCAATTGTACAGGGCACCACCTCCTTATGGGGCTCAACAAAGCTTAGTAATAACTGGGTCTGAGCTAATACAGAACGCCACCTTTTTGTACGATCCACATAGGAGGTAATGGCTGACACTACACATAACAAAGGGTCCGACTGGAAGGAATTAAATATCAGCTTGATTGGTTTTTGCCCTTTTTTCCGTGACTTTGTTAGTCGACCAAGCTCAAAAATAATGCTGCTGTCAGTCATTGTCATGAATCTCAGATCAAGAGCTCGAAGCTCAGATGAACGACCTGCTGATGCAAGGGCCAATAACATGCTTACTTTAAATGTCAGTTGTTTGTCTGACAAGTTACTGTTACACCCCAAAGAGCATATATAAGTAAGCACTACATCAACATCCCACATCCTAGCGTACTTTGGTTGTGGTGGTCTGGCATTAAAACATGCATTCAACACCTGACAAACCAACTCGTGTTGCCCGACTTTCCGTCCATCAACAGTCTTATGATAGGCAGAAATTGCTGACCTATGATTATTAATTGTGCGATAGCATCTACCTTTTTCAAACACGGTAGTTGAATAGTCAGCTACAGCGGCCACAGTGGAGCAAAATGGATCAATTTGTCTTTCAGTACACCAGCTACACCACTGTGACCAGGCACTATTGTAAGCGGCTGTAGTGCCTTTGCGCCAGGAGTGGGTGCTAAGTAGCTGGGCAGTTTGTTCTGAAACTCCTTCTGCAAGTATGGTTTTCCGGAAACCATCCAGGCCGCTAACTGCAGACTGCCTTGTTGCGCAAGAGGATGTACTTGCTGTCTGGGTGATGTTAGCAAGTCCTTGAGAGGAGGCAGTAAAATGGGTTGTCTGCAGGACATTTCCAGTAGAACTGGGTACCATGCCTGTGTTGGCCAAGCTGGTGTGACCATCACAATGGTTGCTATAATAAAGTCGGTTTGTAATAAAATAATATATTTAAATGATTAATGTGAATGTCCTAGATTCGTCCTCGCTTTCCTTGCTCGATACCACAGTACATGTGTTCACTGTCCCGTGACTAGATCATGTGACCTATACGTCACAATACTATATCCCTCCTTTCCTTTTAGAATAAAACATTCATAAATAACAACTCAACAACTAAAACTTCAAGTTTGTATAGGTTCATACTATGTCTGTGAACTATTATAAAATTCTGGACTTCTTCTGTTCCGAGTTGGATATCTGCGCGTCAATTCCGTGTTAGGCATATCACCATGAAAATCCTCGATAATTTGATCTTGTGGTTCAAGGTTTGGGTTTGGGATTTGTTTAAACACTGAAACATTTCTGGTAATGTTGCCGCTATCTTCGCTAGTCGCAGTGATCATTGTCCCTTTTATTTCTGTTACTCTGTATGGCGTTTTACCAAATGGGGTAGATAGCTTATTTTTCTTTTGCTGTCGGACTAAGACATAATCTCCTATTTGAAGATTAATGTTCTTTGCATGATTCCGTTTGTCCGCAAATTTCTTCATCTTCTCCTTTCTCTTAGAGTCGTTGTTGATAGCTTTTTCATGGATGTCTTCGATGTCTGAGGGCATGGGGTCTAACCGGTCCACACTTGGCAGTTTATTCCGAATTTTTCGATTGAATAGAAGCTCTGCCGGGCTGATACCAGTTGTGCAATGCGGCGTTGACCTGTAATTCAAAAGAAAAGTATCTAACTCATCTTGCCATCTTCTTCCTTCGATATGGGCGGCTCGTGCAGCTTTTTCTAATGTGCGCATGAAACGCTCCGCTTCGGCATTAGCTTGCGGCCAGTAAGGGGTGATTTTCCTGTGGCGAACACCATTTTGATTTAGAAAAGCATCAAAATCTGCAGCGTTAAATGGGGGCGCATGCATTGTCGCTTGTCAATTCATCTGGGTAACCGTGTCTGGCGAATATTTTTTTGAGACGCGAAACAACTGCTGTAGCGGTCGTACTTTTCATTATTTCTACCTCCACATATCGAGAGTAACCGTCAATAACGACTAGAACAGTTTCTCCTGTGGGAAATGGACCACAAAAATCAGCGTATACTACGCTCCATATATGGTTTGGATGGCATATCAGTCATGATTAACGGAGCCTTTGGCTGTGGTGCTTGGATAGTTGCTGACTGGCAAGGTAAACATGATTTTACAAGACTTTCTACAGCAGTATCTAGACCAGGCCACCACACTTTAGTGCGTAATAGTGCTTTAGTTTTTGCTATACCTTGGTGCCCTTCATGAGCAATGGCCAAAGTTCTACTCTGAAGAGACTTTGGAATAATAATTCGAGTGTCACGTAAAAGTATACCATTGTTAGTAATAGACAGTTCATCCTTTAATTTATGATAAGCTGTAACCGCATACCTGCAGTTTGGATCATTTTTTTCATACCAGTGTCCTGTCTGCACTGCTTTGATCACAGCTTGTAACTCAGAATCAGTACTTGTCTCAGCAGCAATCTCCTCTAGAGCCATTGATTTGGGGACAGCATGGCTCTCAATAAAGTTGATATACTTGTCCACAGTGTTAGCAGACCATTCACAGGTTTCTGTTGGTTGACGGGATAACACATCAGCAGGGTTTGACGATCCTGGTCGGTATTGCACTTGGTACAGGTACTGCTGCATTCGGAGAAGCCATCTCTCAATGCGTGGTGGTGCTTTGGATTTAGGGCTATAAATCAGTTCAAGTGGCTTATAGTCAGTGTAGAGGGTAAATTCTTTACCTACAAGATACAAATGGAAGCGTTCACAGCCCCATACCACTGCAAGGGCTTCTTTTTCTGTCTGCGAGTAGCGGCGTTCAGTGGGGGTAAGGGTGCGACTTGCATATGAAATGTTGCGTATGGTACCATCCTCTTGTATCTGAGACAGTATGGTCCCAAGACCGACAGGACTTGCATCAACAGTCAGGGTTGTTTCTTTGGCAGGATCATAGAAAACCATGCTGCAATCCTCTGCAATTGCAGTCTTAATTTTCTCAAAAGCTTGTTGGTGGATGACAGTCCATTGCTATTTTGTTGACTTCTTTGTCAGTTCGTTCAGAGGTGCTGAAAGAGTGGCAAAATCCTTGATAAAACGAGCGCAGTAGTTAGCTAGACCAAGGAAACTTCGGAGCTGAGCAACATTCTGTGGAGTTGTCGTTTTGACTATGGCCTCAACTTTCTTGGGATCAGCAGATAGACTATCTTTGGACAAACTGTAACCATAAAACCATAAACTTGGTTGGTTGTATTCACATTTATCACCATTCAATGTGAGGCCCTTGGCATCTAGGCGCTGGAACAAAGCTTCAAGATTGCGATC